GTTTCATATTTTTGTGGTTTAAAAAAAATACATATGGTTCAGAACGGATTAACCTTATTTACTTTGAACCTTATGGGAAAATTTGATTCGGTTCGCGACCAAAATTGGTTGGCTACCACATTTGTAGGGGTCAGAACAGATTAACCTTATTTACATTGAACCTTATGGGGAAATTTGATTTGGTTCGCGACCAATTTGGTTTGCGACCAGAATCGTGGAACGAATTAAGTTCGTGAACCAAGGTACCACTGTAGATATGAGCAGTTTGAATCCTTTCACCTATTTATATATGGGTACAGGCAATCCAGAGGGGAAGGAAGACAGATGAAAAAGAATGGGAGGGGACAACAAACGTAGCAATGGAAGTGGGGGGAAGCCCCATGTATATTTTTAGATATATAACAGGAGTAATACTTTGTTTCCCAGACAGTGTGCTGGGGAGGTAAAGGGAAATGGAGGTGCTTGAGGGAAGTGGGAATAAAAGGGTCTACTTTACTAATTCAGAGCTCTGAATCTCCTTTACTGCCATATAGGCATTGGTAAATTGGCTCTGTGTGGATATAGCATTTGGCTGAAAAACTTTTACAACCTGTAGAGTCAGACTGTCATTTGTGTGGACAAACTTTTATATCTTATTATTATTTTCTAGATTGAGAGATTATGCCAGAGATTAGAAGAGATGGAACAACTGAATCGTGAGATGACTATAGAATATGAACGTCAATTAACAAAAGTCCAAGATGAGGTGAGCTCCCTGAAAGACAGTAGAATTGCCTTGAGCAAAATGTAAAGTGGGCTTGTTCTTAATCATGTTTGTCAAATGAAAAGGGGGCTTGTATATCTGTACATATAGGTATTGAAATCAAAGAGTATGGATTGTTTTCAGATTAATAAAGGCAAACATTTTGAGTACATAAGAGTGAGTACAATTCAATCTAGAAGAAGACAGTGATGAATTATTTTTTTAAAAAGTTAGTGAGTGCATTTCTATATAAAGTTTTCCCAAATTGTAGCTGAGGGGGTAGGTTGCTTATATTGAAGCAGCTTCTCAATCTTTTCCTTTCATAGGGAATTTGTATATGCTCTTCTTCTTTTCCTTAGGAACATAATGTATAGCTATATTGAACACATGAAGAATGATTTATGTAATGAAACATTATTCTCGAATGTACATGCATAGAATTGCTACCTAAAGTTATATTTAAAATCTTCAGTAAAAAATAAGAAACTAAAATGCTTACCGTTACTTCAAGTATTTCAGGGTAAAATTTCAGCTTGTGTCATTTCAGTGTAAAATTTCAGAGAAGTGTCATTCCATGTTCAGCTGGTGCTTCTTGTTCTGCTTTCTCTTTACTTGCAGTTAAATGCCATAAGAGACTAATAGTGCATTAACCTGTTCCCCTGGAGAGTTAGCTAAGTCTTGTTTACTCTAGGTCAGGCCTGCACAACTTGTGGAGGGGAAGGGCCACATGGATAAATTAAAAATCATAGTGGGCCACAAAGGAATACCTGGTGCACCAGTCAGCTGTTTGGTGGCTAGCAGAGCAGCAACAGTGCTGGAGCTAGTGGCAGTGGTGAGGCCTGGAGGCATTAGAGGCTCCAAGCTATGTGTCTTTCAAGCTGCAATGGCAAATTTATTGACTTTTTAAAAAACGCTGGTGGGGTGCACAAGGCTGCTTGGCGAGCCATATGGTGTTAGGGCCTGCTCTGGGCTATAGTTGAAATTAAATTTTGTGCTCTTGCTTTTGCAAGTTGAAGACATTACTTCATTTCAGCATGAGTAATGGTTCTTGTTTAGGCAGTGCCTCCAGGGAAGTAGGAAGGATTCCACCAGGCAAGATTGAGGTTCACTGGCAGATCTTTGTAAAGTTTGGAAGCTGGAATGACAGCACAATTCAGTAAGGTTAAAAAGCAACAGCAATTCCTAAGGTATCATAACAGGGGTTAGTCCTCATTATATCTTATTTTCTCACTTTTAACAGTAGTTATGGCCCTATCTGAAGTATCCTAAGTTGCTGTTGGATATTCATGTTTATTGATCTGTATGATAGAAATGAAAGCCTTGTGCAACATCCACTTCCCCCTCCTCCACTGCACCCCTCATTGCATCAAAAATATGTGACTCCTTTATAGCAGGCTAATTTGATTTAAATCAAAATCTTCATCCTGAAGAAGTGTACATACTGGTTGGAGTAAAAGATAAAACTATTCAGAGTTTTTTTGACAATACTGCTTCCTTATTTATCTTTTAAAACCCTTTTTAACTATCTCTATTCTCTTTTCCTCTTCTATTTGTTCATGCTTTATTTGGTGGGAGTTAAGTTTGGAATTTAGAGATATTTATTATATTTTCAGTGAAAGATGGTTAACTTCTACTTGTTACAATAATGACAATTCACTGAAAAAAAACCATAATAAGAGCTCTATCAGTCCATTTAGTTTTTGCAACATTTCTGAAATATTCATAGTTCTGCTTAATTTATTTATAAAATATGAATTTTTTGGTCACTGAATACAGACTATAGGTTTTGAAAAAAAATCTGTATTCCTCTATTTTAGTATTTATGCTGTCAATAATTATTTTTCTTTTTTGCAGCTAGCTAGACTGAAGAGAAGTTATGAAAAATTGCTGAAGAAACAGTTGAAAGGAACTAGGCAATCTTCCAAGAGCCAAGAGGAGGATCAGTCTGAAATAAGGATCATGACCAAGAAATTAGAGGTAGGTGGAAAAAATGGTCTTGGTCAGAATTTATAAATTCAAGTAGGTATGAATAGGTTTGGAAAAATCTAAAGATGATTTTTTTTGCATTTGGAAGTAGGAGAGCTTTAGCTCAGTATAAGTCCAGTTAAAATTAATGGGACTTCTTAGTAGTCATTCAGTTGCTCAGTAAAACAAGTATATTTAACTATGATCCACCACCAATATGTTCTATTTTCTTGTGCTTCCTAAATAAAGGTAAGTTCAATGCCTGCCCTAAGGAACAAGATTCTTCCCAAGATCTGGATGACCTTACCTGCCTTTCAAAAGACTCTTAGTATCTGGCTTCCCCCGCAAGTGCTGGGTCAGGAAGTTTTGTGCCTATCTTGATTGCCTTTGATTGTTTGGGGTTGGATAAATTTATAGTTTTTAATGTTTCTTGGTTGCTATGTGTAGTTTTCATTTGTGTATACCAATGAATTGCATGTTGATTGTATGTCTATATACATCCATTTAATAAATTAAAAATATAAATAAAAGCTCTTTTACAAAGATCTGTATACCTGCTTTGAAGCATTTTAGAAAATGTTTTAAAATATAAAGTTCCATGTTGGATGCCCGCTTTGGTACAGATCCAGGGGAGATGACTGGGATACAATCCTACCAGGATATCTGGGAACAGTTTGATCTTGTTGGGCCTGAGGAAGTGGACAGAGTCCTTATAACTGTGAGTTTAGCCACCTGCTCCTTAGATCCATGCCCCTCCGGGCTAGTTAAGGCTGCCTGGGTGGTGTTGTGGTTGGATCGTAGTGGTGGTTAATTCTTTGAGAGAGGGGGTTGTTCTGTCCCCCTTAAGGAGGTGTACGTTCACCCCCTTCTCAGGAAGCCATCGCTGGATCCTACCATACTGCACAATTTTTGTCCAGTATCAAACCTCCCTTTTTTAGGGAAGGTCATGGAGAGGGTGGTTGCGCGGCAGCTTCAGCAGGCCATGGATAAAGCAGATTCTCTGGACCCCTTTCAGTTGGGATTCAGGCCTGGGGATGGGATGGAGACAGCATTTGTCAAGCTTTTAGATGATCTCTGGTGGGAGTGGGACAGGAGTAGTGCATCTGTCCTTGCTCTTGACCTCTTGGCAGCCTTCAGTACCATTGGCCATGGTATCCTAGATCGACTCCGTGGGCTAGGAGTAGTATTGTGCTGGTTCACTTCCTTTCTGTGGGGCCGGTCACCAGTTGTTAATTGGGAGTGAGAGGTTCCACCCTCAACCCTTATTATGTGGGGTTCTGCAGAGTTTGGTACTCTCTCCACTCCTATTTAATATCTACATGAAGCCACTGGGTGAGATCATCCATCGCCATGGGGTGAAGTATCATCAGTATGTTGATGATACTCAGTTATTTATCTCTGCCCTGGCAAACTAAGTGATGCAGTTGATGTCTTGTCCCAGTGCCTGGAGGCTGTAGAGGTTTGGATGGGGAAGAACAGGCTTTAGCTGAATACTGGCAAGACAGCAGCTCTGAATTTTGGGGCCTTCTGGTTCTGGGATTTTGCCATCTTTGATACTGGATGGGGTAGCACTGCCCCGACAGACCTGGTGCGCAATCTGTCCTAGACTCATGAGTCCTGCTCAAGGAGCAAGTGGCAGTTGTGACTAGGAGGGCCTTTGCATAGCTTTGTGTTGTGCGCCAGTTGCACCCCTTCCTGAACCATGAGGCTCTACTCACAGTCACTCATACCCTGGTTACCTCCAGAATTGATTACTGTAAATAAGGAACCATTGACAACTATATCCCTCTGCCATCAGTTCTTCTCTTGAATTTCTTTTACATTCATTGACAAAATTCTAGTATCTCATGATAAGTTAGCCATTTGTGTTTGCCTATTATTTCTTGTCTATAAAATGCTTCTTGTGCTGAGAGCCACAAAGGTGTTTTTGGGCACGACCTGGGTTTGTATCTATTCCATATTCTCAATATGGCATGTCTAACTGGATGATTTTAAAAATCCACATTCACCTTGACTTTGTTGTATCACAAATATCCATGCCACCCAAATCTCAGGTCATGTCCTTCTAACTCC